ATATTTGATAAATTTTGTATATTTTATAAATAAACATTTCTAAATTATTTAGCTGCTACAAAATAACAAAAATAACCATTTTTTTATTTTATTAAAGAGTTTAGTTCATCCTAAATCTATAAAAATAAACGGAATTTCAAAAACGCAAAGAGTTTATTCAACTGCTATCGGTTGCCTGTTCATATTAACCCAATTTGTCCACGGCTCTTGCATATTCTCATAGTTGTCTACTTTCTCATCGACAAAATTATTTGCTTGAATCCTCACATAGGGTGGTACCTAAAATCGAAAAATTATTTACGCACTTAAAAAAAGAATCAAATTGCAGAAAAAATTTATTCGAATAAAATAAAAATAATAATAAACTAAAAATACAAAATTCTTCAAAACTTAAATAATAACAGAAAAATTAAAAATATAACTAAAATCGATGACGTTGATAATTATTATTCCATAGCCATGCACTTGCCGAAATTGGTTTAAGTCCAAAGTCGACTCTTTGAGCAGGTGAATGAGGAATGTTCGTGACTGTTACGAGTCTTGAATGGGGTAAATATCCATCCTTGTAGGCTGTTATTTTATATTGGCCAGGAGTGAGAAGACGGAAATAGTCACCATCGTGAACTGGAATGGTACAAATATTAATACAATTCTAACAATACAAAAAAATAATTATACACATTGTTGATATTAAAATTAAAAATGAATTCACAATAAGGCAAAACTAAGAACTAATGTAAATAAATGAGTCTTCACTGGAAATCTACTTATTTAATGCCAACAAGGTTTTTCAACTTTTGTTTAAGTAAAATAAAGATATCTCATCTGTTTGCAATTATTGAAAATTGAAAATCAAGAAAAATTAAACTAAAAATAGCTCAAATTGCTTTATTTTGAAAGAAAACTCTTATTGAAACCAGTATTTGGTTGAAATACTTTGATTCAGGTGGATTCTCGGCTTTAAATTGAGCCAAAACTAATGAAAATATCACAAATTATTTTATTTCAGCCTAAAATTGAGATTGAAGCAATTATTTTTATAAAATGAATTAATTCTGTATTAAAATTAAGAAAATTAAAATTGAAAATAGCTCAAATTGCTTTATTTTGAAAGAAAATTTTTATTCAAGCCAGTATTTAGTTGAAATACTTTGATTCAGGTTGATTCCCAGCTTCAAATTGAGCCAAAACGATTGAAAATATCACAAATTATTTTATTTTAGCCTAAAATTGAAATGACAACAATTATTTTTATAAAATACATTAATTTTGAATTAATTCCGTATTAAAATTGAGCAAAATTATAATAAAAACAGCTCAAATTGCTTAATTTTTGAAGAAAACTCTTAAGTACAGGATTAATTCGAAATTAATGTATTTTATAAAAATAATTTCTTCAATCTCAATTTTAGGCTGAAATAATGTAATTTGTAATATTTTGAATCGATTATCTACAAACTAATGGCTTGAATAAGTGTTTTTTAAAAATTTGTGATATATTCAGTCGTTTTGGCTCAAATTGAATAGAAGCCGGAAATCAACCTAAATCAAAATATTTCAACAAAATAATAGCTTAATTAAGAGTTTTCTTCCAAATAAAGCAATTTTGCTATTTTCAAACTAATTTTGTTCGATTTTACTACAGAATTCATTCTAAATTAATGTATTTTATAAAAATAAATTTCTTCAATTTTATTTTTAGGCTGAAATAATGCAATTTGTAATATTTTGAATCAATTTGGCTAAATTTTAACCCGGAAATTAACTTGAATTAAAGTATTTCAACAAACTAATGGCTTGAATAAAAGTTTTCTTCAAAATCAAAGCAATTTGAGCTATTTTTAATTTAATTTCGCTTGATTTTAATACAGAATTAATTCAAAATTAATAAAATAAATTAATTTTGAACTAATTCTGTATTAAAATTGAAACCTGTTTCTATGGTGCATTTAAGCTATTATGTTGTATTTCATAAATACATAAAATACACTAATCTTTTGTCAATTTTGACATTATTTTGACAAATTTATTTATAACAATTCTTCAATTTAGTAAAATTTCTGATTCAAAAATTTTTAAACAACCCAATTTTTATAGTTCTCGGTCTAATAATTGTAGCGGTCCTTAAGGGCTCGAATTTTTGCCTATAAAACTCTTGTTGTCTGAATAGTCATTATCGATTTGCCAGTGTGTTGTCATTTAAAAATTAGTAAATTTTGCAGAACTCAAACAAAACAAAAAATCTCTAAATATTATTTTATTCTTGAAAAATGATCAAATTTTCATAGT